GGTCGAGATCCATTGCCAGTTATGAGCGTCATTTTTTTTTCAAAAACTTGATTGTGATATCCAAGAAGTACTCTTGCAGTGTTGCCAAGCCAATTAACAACTACGATATCCAATCGAATATCGTTATTAAAATCACCATAAGCTACAGAGTTTGGAAAGGGACCACTTGGATATGTCGTCTGTATTGCAAAAGAGCCATTGCCATATCCGAGAAGTATACTTACAGTGTTGCTAAAATAATTAGCAACGACGATATCCAATCGAGTGTCGTTGTTAAAGTCACCAACAACTACAGATAGTGGATTCTCACCAGTTGAATATATCGTTTGGTTTGTAAATGAGCCATTGCCATATCCGAGAAGTATACTTACAGTATTGTCATCCACATTAGCAACGACGATATCTAATCGAGTGTCGTTGTCAAAATCACCAACACCCACAGAAGATGGATTACTGCCAGTTGAATATGTCATTTGGTTTGTAAAAGAGCCATTACCATATCCAAGAAGCACACTTACAGTATTGTTATTTGTATTAGCAACGACGATATCCGATCGAGTATCGTTGTTAAAATCACCAACAGCTACAGAGGATGGATTACTGCCAGTTGAATATGTTGTTTGGTTTGTAAAAGAACCATTGCCATATCCGAGAAGTATACTTACAGTGTTATTATTCCCATTAGAAACGACGATATCTAATCGGGTATCGTTGTTAAAATCGCCCATAGCTACAAATTTTGGATTATCGCCAGTTGGATAAGTCATTTGATCTGCGAAAAAACCATTGCCATATCCGAGAAGTATACTTACTGTGTTGTCAAGCTGATTAGCAACGACGATATCCAATCGGGTGTCATTGTTAAAATCACTAACAGCTACAAATTGTGGATAAGAGCCAGTTCGATATGTCTTTTGATTTGCAAAAGATCCATTACCATATCCCAGAAGTACACTTATAGTGTCATCATAATAGTTAGCAATGACGATATCCAGTCGAGTGTCGTTGTCAAAATCACCAACAGCTACACAAATTGGTGCTCTGCCTGTTGAGTGTATCGTTTGCATTACAAAAGATCCTGCATCATATGCAACAAGCACATCTACATTGTCAATATCATCATATGCCACAACGATTTCCGAACGTCCATCATTGTTGAAATCACCAGCAGCTATGAAAAATGGAGCAAAATCATAAACATAGTCACCACTCTCTAGACTTTCAAACGTTCCGTCCTCTTTTCCTAGAAATAATCCAACATTTTTAGTACCATGGTTGGCCACTGCGATATCCGCTTTATTATCTGTATTGAAATCACCAATGGCAATAGAGGAAGGATGAGAATTAAAGCCTGTTGAAAAGTGCATTTGTTTTTCAAAAGTGCCATTCCTGTGCCCAAGAATGATACCTATATTATTCGTACCATAATTGGCAATGCCCATATCCAGTAGAGTATCGTTATTGAAGTCGAAAACGACAAAACTTCGCAAACGAAAACCATCACTAGATGCCAATGTGATTTCTTTTGCCAGAGCTCCTTTGTCATAACGAAGCAGAACACTTACAGTGTTGTTTTTGTTATTAGCAACTACGATATCCAATCGAGTGTCGTTGTTAAAATCACCAACAGCCACGGAGTCTGGCACATAGCCAATTGGATATGTCATTTGGTTTGCAAAAGAGCCATTGCCATATCCGAGAAGTACACTTATAGTGTCGCCTAACCAATTAGTAACGACAATGTCTAGTCGGTTGTTGTTATCAAAATCACCAACTGCTACAGAGCTTGGAAAAGAGCCAGTTGAATATTGCTGTCCACTTGCGAAAAAGCCATCGCCAAATCCAAAAAATACACTTACAGTATCGCCACCATAATTAGCAACGACGATATCCAATCGGGTGTCGTCGTTAAAATCACCAATAGCAACGGAGTACGGCGCAGAGCCGGCTTGATATGTCTTTTGGTTTTCAAAAGAACCATTGCCATATCCGAGAAGTATACTTATAGTGTTACCAAGCGAATTGACAACGACAATATCCAATCGGGTATCGTTGTTAAAATCACTAACAGCTATGAAATACGGCCTAGCTCCAGTTGAATATCGCATTTGGTTTTTAAAAGAGCCATTGCCATATCCAAGAAGTACACTTACAGTATTGTTGTACTCATTAGCAACAACGATATCCAATCGAGTGTCGTTATTAAAGTCACCAACTGCTACAGATCGTGGATTCTCACCAGTTGAATATGTCATATGGTTTGCAAATGAGCCATTGCCATGTCCAAGAAGTACACTTATGTTGTTGCCACTATATTTACCAACGACGATATCTAATCGGGTATCGTTGTTAAAATCACCAACAGCTATCGAGTATGGATAAAGGCCAGTTGGATATGTCGTTTGATTTGCAAAGGAACCATTTCCATATCCAAGAAGTACGCTTACAGTGTCACTCCCCGAATTAGCCACAACAATATCCAATCGGGTGTCGTTGTTAAAATCACCAGCAGCTACATAGGATGGATTAGGGCCAGTTGAATACATTGTTCGATTTTCAAAAGAGACCTCGTCATAACCAAGCAGGATACCTATGCTGCTCGTGTCATTGTTGACGACAATAATATCTAAACGATTGTCTGTGTTTAAATCACCTATGACAACGAAGATTGAAGAAGAAGACCCAGTTAAATACGGTACTATATTTGCAAAAGAGCCGTTTCCATATCCGAAAAGTACAACTATATTGTCACTGCCTTTATTGGTGACGACTAAATCCATTCGATTGTCATTGTTGAAGTCACCAATGCCGAT